AACTCGTAACTATTGATGTGCAACACTTTATCACTAAGTATGTATCATTTTTATACTAACTTTGCAAGTTTAATTGTATGTAGTTGTAATGTCATTTTTTCTGTAATTGCAAGGTTAGTTGTTTGTTGGTGCTTGGTTAATTGTTTGTAGTTGCTAATTTAGTTATCTGCAATTGCTAGGTTAGTTGTCTGTAGTTGCAAGTTTAGTTCTATCTAGTTGCAAGGTTAGTTATGTCTAATACCAAAGTTAGTTGTCTGTAGTTGCAAAATTAGTTGTATGTAGTTGTTAGATTAGTTGTCTGTAGTTGCAAAGTTATTTGTCTGTAGTTGCAGGGTTAATTGTATCTAGTTGCAAGGTTAACTGTTTGCAGTTGCAAGTTTAGTTGAATGTAATTGCAAGTTTAGTATCTGCAGTTGAAATGTTAGTTGTCTATAGTTGCAAGTTTAATTATTTGTGTTTTAGTTGCAAGGTTAGTTATCTGTAGTTGCAATATTAGTTGTATCTAGTTACAAGGTTAGTTATCAGTAGTTACAAGGTTAGATATATTTATTTGCAAAGTTAGTTGTATCGAGTTGCAAAATTATTTATCATTAGTTGTAAGGGATTACATAATGCATACTAGGGGACAGTGCCGGAGTCAATGCCAGAAGTCAATAGTCAACGCTGGAAGTCAACGATTTTCGCCAGAAGTCAGCGGTCAACGTCGGAGTCAATGGTCAAAATAATATTTAAATAACTAAAATAATTAAAATAAAAAATTATTATTTAGATAAAGAGTTAAATCTCAACCATACATCTTGATACCCTTTGCCATACATCTTGATACCCTTTTAGTGGCTAGGATTGAGTCTTACGTCCTCACTTTAACTAAGCGGATGTATTGGAACCAATCCATATATATATATATATATATATATATATATCATTTTTTTATTTCAATAAGATAAATTTTAGTTCAACAAACAAAAATAAAATTTTTTGTATCAAATCGCACCCAATAAGATATATTGCCAGCTCCAATTTCAACAGTAGAAAACAGACCACACATAGTGTTTCCATGAATAAGATAAAATTAACTTCATTCCGTTTTTATGTATAACCCATTTTGTCTAACATAATCAATCACTTCATCATCTGTCAAATACTTCACAGACAATCCTCTTGAAATGCAGTCCCTGTAAATGATATTTTAAAAAATATGTAAAACATTCCTACAAACTTTCTTTCTTATTTTATCAGATCAGATTCAATTATTTGCAATTTGCATGACATTCATGAACAAAGAAAGTTATCGATTTTTTTTTTTCTTTCACATTCCTTTTTCTTTTTACCTTAGCCCGGTTGAACTGATCCCGTTTGGTACAACTTCATCGACGACTACGATATTATCCTGCAAAAAAATGATTTAAAAAGCCACTAATGAAAAATTAAATAAGATTCAGTGTTAATTTTCACCTTAAAATGTTTGTTTGGTAAATAGTAAATGCAAACCTCAAAGAGTAAATTTTCACCTTATGTATTTTTTCATGTAAACAGTACAGGTAATTATAAGATGGATTTACCTTGTACTCGGTCAAAATATCATCCTTACATATGATATTCTCAACATCTTGGCCACCTCTCCGGACACAAACCAACCCAAAGTCTCGACAAATAGTTCGGACCTAAAGAGGTTTGAATTTAAAACACATGCATAATCGATATAATGTCCTGTGGCATTGAATTTCAGTAACCAAATGATCATGTGAGCTCTATTGAAACCAAATTATCATGAAATAAATTTATTTTTCCTTATATAAAACTCTAATAAAGTAATGCTACAAAAAGAGTTGAGAAAGTGTGGCATCTATTTAATTTAACAGTAGAAAAGTGAAAATTGGAGTAATAAAGTCTAAAATTTCAGCTATCGGTAAAAAAAAAAAAATAGTAATAGTGGAATTTGCATGATAAACAATCAGAATCCAGTCGAGCATAGAGTTAAAATTCGTTATTACCTGATCACGAATCCAAAATCCAGGAATACCGAAGGATTCTAACAGATCAGAACCACAGACGAGCAAGACCTTAAGTGACTCTACAGCCAAGAGAAAGAAAAGGAGAAATAAACAGAAAAACATAAGTTAGCGATAAATAAAGTCTGAAAATCAGTAACTTCTGCAAATAAGTTTTCAAAGTAAAGCAGCTACACTACACAGCCTTGAAATATTAACAGGATAAACAATTCTCATGTGCTATGATAAAGTGATAAAATTTAAATCATGATGCTTCAATAAGTTAACAGATAATAAAGTAAACAATAAAAAATGACAGCATGGTAATTCATGAGTGGCTTTTAAATCTTACCACTGGATACAATTTCACTATCGCATAATGAGTTTTTAATTCTAGACAAAACCGTCAATGTGCGTTGGTAAGAGCTTTGACTTGCCTGTAGCAAAATAAACATTGCCTAATAGTCAATACCATCACAAAAAATAACAAAAATGTTCGTATATTTGAATTACGAGAATTTGGATAGTCACACACACACACACACACAGAGAGAGAGAGAGAGAGAGAGAGAGAGAGAGAGAGAGAGAGAGACCTCCCACGAATCAACCATCACAAAATCGGAACTTTTACAAGCAAGACTACACATTGCAACACGATGTTCAGCCTGTACGAGACCCTGAAAAGGTAGGTAGGAAATAATAAATGTAGTCTTCTCATCACCCTAAAAGACTATCATATGACAGAACCTATGAACTTCCTTTTCGAACAAAAAGAGATGAAACTTAGAACAAAACCACCATCTTGCATTTGACTAACAAGGAATGTTCCAAATACCAAATACTGTAACTACAGACCCAAATTTCAAGTTGTGACAGTAACTAAAAAAAATAACATACAAATACATCAAATAAACAAAAAACACATTTTGCCGCAACAAAACAATTTGAAGATTCAAAAGACCCTCTTCGGTTTCCACAGTCAACACACCATTGTATTAAAACATCACACTGATTTTAAAATCTCCGAAGCAATTGAATGAATATACACACAAACATATGGTTACACTGAACACCTTTTTCTTGTATGCATCATTTACAGGCGACATGTAACCCCCAATGACACAAAAGCCTTTCGATATTAGAGCATCTCTTGCCAATTCTGACCATCAAAACAAGACAAATAACATAAAATAAAATCAGTGCACTCATGAACTTCATTTTCATGCAACTGCTACATTCCATCAACTACAAACTACAGAAATATATATATATTTTGGGCAGTGAAATGATATGCTTTACCAAAACAGCGCAAGTGCATGTATGTAGGAGGATTAAAACTTCCAGTTGATACCAAAACGACAAACATCTTCCCCCTGTATGAGAGATATATGGCCCAGATACTTCAAATCAATCTCAAATTTAAAACTTTCAGCTACAAATTCCCTTCTAAAAAAAAGGAAAAATAAGGTGGAAACAAAAAATTTAAATGTCATTACTAGCAGAAAAAAAAAAAAAAATGAATTAAGGGTGAAAAAAATGGGGGAACATATATAATTGAGGCAAAATTACTTGCTCATGGAGCTTGATAAACCGTCTTTATCGATATAGTCCAAGGATAATTTGTCCAATGGCAGCGCTACATCTACATCACCACAAAAACACGATGAGATTTTGAAGCAAGGTCAAATCTTTATGTGTTCAGAAGGAAAAGACAGTAAAAGGGGGGCAAAGCCTGGAGTTGGAGCAGCCATTGAATGAGAGTTATAAACTTCTCTCGGGCAAAAGAGCGAACAGGTTGCAAGCAAGCACGAATGCAGCAGATTCTCGGTATAATCTCAGAGCTGAATAGTCAATATATATATAGAAAGTAGCAAAATCCTTTGTAAATTTAGAAGAAACTGGAAAATCTTGTTGTAAGAAAATTCTTCCAGCAGCGATCGATATGAAGTTTTCTTCAAAATTTTTGAGTGGTTGGGTCGAGATTCATATGAACCATACAAATCAAGACTCATGGGCCGAGCCAACTATACATGAGAAATTGACAGATTTACATCCCATCTCCCGGGCTATAATTCTCGAACGTGCTGAGCCTGAGTAACAGTCTAGCATGCTTTGGAAACCTAGGTGTCAAAATTATATTATTCATTATTTGACTTGAATAGATTTTAATTTAATTCTAAACCAAAATAATTAGGTTCGAATTACCATAAATATGTTAATTTATTTATGATTATTTTAGATGTATTAATTGTGTTTTCATATCGTTTCCTATTATAACCATTGAATATGTAAATGTATTTTAAAACTTGATAACTTTTGTATTTCTTATCGATTTTACATATATAATACATAAAAATTAATTATCTTTTGATGAGCTTCGATTTGACATCTATAATGTATATAAAATAAAAAAAAATTATCTTTATAAATATAATATAATTATTTATTAAATTAATTAAAATTATTTATTAATTTTTTTTAAGAAAAATTATTATAATATAACACAGGCAAGTCACATAAGTAACAAGTGTCATGCTAAAATATATAATAATATTTATTTTTATAAGAATTAATTAAATTTTCAACCACTTTTTTCATTAATTTTAAATTTTAAGAAAAAAAAATAGTAGACACCCGTGTAATACACGGGTATTGTACTAGTAGAGTAAATAATAACAAAAATATGATCTCACAAACTAGGGGTTATGTAAAGCTGTAAACGAACCGAACGTTCGCGAACAAAAGCTCGTTCGAGATTGTTCATGTTCGATAAAAGCTCGTTCGTTTATTAATCGAGCCGAGTTCGAACATAAAATTAGGTTCGTTTAATAATCGAACGAACACGAGCTCGTTCGTGAACGTTCGATTATGTTTGTGAACATTAATTAAATATAATTTTATTTTATTTTATATATATTTATATACTATTTTTAAAAAAAATCTAAAAATTTAATATATTTTTTTATATTTACATAATATTTTTAATAAAAATATAAAATATAATTTTTTTATGTTATTATTTTATTTTCGAGTTAGAACGAGTTCAAACGAAAAAATTTCGTGTTAATCAAATATATTTGAAAAATTTATGTATTAAATTATTCGAACACGAGCGAACTCGAACTTTTACGAACAATTAAACGAACGAACTCGAACATGATTTTTGCTTAAAAAATAAACGAACGAACACGAATACTGTTCGAACGTAAACGAACACGAGTTCAAATAGTCTAAGCTCGGGATTCATTTCGTTTACAGCACTAGAGTCATGTATGTATTTTTCCCAAAAATAAAAGGGAAAAATTTATAACTGCCCTTTTTTAATAAAGATTTTACAAACCAGTTACTAGCCATACACAGTTCCCAATCTACTCCAAACAGTAGACAAAATTGCTTGAATAGAAAGTTACATCATTTCAAAATTCAACTACTCTCTCTTTCTCTCTCGTATCTAACTGCTCTCTTTCTCTCTTTTATTTATCTCTTACATCTCTTTTCATTCTTTTCTCTCTCTTCTTCCCTTTATTCATCATCTTCATCTTCTCCTGAAAAAAAAAAAAAAAAAAAAACAATTGATTATATATATATATATATATATAATTGAGATAAATATGAAGAACTGAAAAACCTTCTATGTAACAAGAAAACCACAACATAATACATAAAAGTAACATGAAAACAACCATAACAACATACAAAGTAACATGAAAAAAAACCATAACAATCCAAAAAATAACAAATCTCAACATAAACAAAAATCGACAGACACATAATGAATGAAAATAATTTTCATAGACTTCCTCTAAAAACTCAAGTCGATCATTCAAAGAGTGCGAATCGAAGGCTAATAATCGTCATAAAAATCGTAAAAACACACCAAGCCTGAAAAATAGAAAATTATTAAAAATTGTCCCTACCGATTGAACCCAATGATGCCCCGTCGTTGAGCCGTAACGACGACGAGCAACCGGAGGTAGTAGATCCTTTTATGACGATTTGCTATTCGAACCTTGCACGCCCATTCCAAACACGCCGACGTCTGGAATTTGGAATCTGAGCAGTGAGAATTAGATTAGGGATGCGGATTGGGATGAAAAAAATTTGGGATGCGGAATTGATGAAAAAATTTGGGAAAATTAGATTAGGGGAAATCTATAAATTGGAAGAAGAAGAAGAAGAATCGAAAGAGAAGAAAAAGAATGAAAATGGAAGAATGAAAGAAAAAGAGAGAAGAAGAAGAAATTAGAAGAAGAAGAAAACGAGATGGAGAAAAATTAGATCCAGGAGAAAAATAAGATGAGGTTTATAAAATGTTAAATATGAATTAAAAAAATGAAAAAAAAAAATAATAACTGATATTTAGAGTATAAATGAAAATCAAAAAGAATGTATTTGACTTAATAATAAATGGGTGCAGTTATGTAAAAACTTTTTTCAGAAGGATAGCTGGCGTCAATATTTCAAAAATAAAATTGTACCTCTATTCCTCTATAGAGACAAGCCCACAATATCAGCGAAGCAAACTAATTGTGGCCCACTATGTGGAGCAGAGGCCCATACATTCATGAATCTCAGTCAGGCAGGCACGTGTCCTTCACGAAAAATCCGAGCCTTTGAGGGCCCCACAAAACCCCATCTCCTTCTCTTTTTTCGCGCCTCTCTCTACACACCAACTGCTTTACACTTTTAAGATTTTTATTTTTCTGTTTCCTTTTTTTTTTTTTT